GTCCCGTCGAGCAGTGAGCTAAAGTTTCATCCTCTAAAGCAGTTGGTGCTTCATTATTTTTCTGATATCAGCTCCATACTGTGTTTTTCTTCTTTTCCATTTTCTTCTTATCTATCTATCTATCTATCTATCTCTATTTATATTTATATTTTTATTTTCATTTTCATTTTTATTTTATTTATTTATTTGTTTGTTTGTTTGTTTGTTTGTTTTGATGCTGGGTGGCATGGTTTTTCATCCTCCTATCCATCAGATACCTAAAACTGTAACCTCTTGCTGTGTTGAGTCAGGAACACTAATATTTTATTCTTATAAATGCCAGACAACAACATTCATACTTTGGTGATCTGTTTCAGAATATCATCTATATATTGTCAAATGGAACAATATAGAATATCATGTATATACTGTAAAATTGAAGCCTGGGGTAGGAGGATGCAGATCCTACCTTTTTAGCTGACATGGCAGGAGCAACGGGTGGGCTGTTAAACACCTTGCGGTGGGAGATTACAGGTGTATTGTGTTCCACCCCAAGTTTTGCTGTTATGTTGGGGTTACAAAGAAGACATCTTTTATATCCAATTATATCCAACACATATCTAGCACAGTAATGTATTGCATTAATTGTCCCTACCCTCTATTGACAGCAGCTGTTAGAGGGTCAGTGACTTTATTTAAAACCCTGCAGCCATGTGCCGTGACTGTTCTAGTTTTTTTAACAGGCCATGTGGGACTGTTATGTGATTAATGTGATTAATTTTCCCCTATAATACTCAAATTATTACTTTAACTGTGTGATTAATTCTGTTGCAGGTTTTATGGCAGAAGCAGTTAACAGTTTCCTCCCAGTAATGTATGAAATATGGCTTTACACCTGCAATTGTAAATGGTAAGCCATGCCCTAGCTGGAGACTGTGCCTTAAGACACGAGTCACCCACCAGATGAAGCCACCATGACCAGCAGGACACGTCAAGAGCACAGCACCCAGAGCACAGAGACCAACCTGTCCCACCGTGTCCGCGTGCGGCTGGACAGAATTTCCCCAGGGACAAACATTTCCCAGCCTCTTCTACCCAGAGGCCATGTACTGGTGGGAAACCCCCGTTCCTTCCT